GGAGCGCTGTGAGCGAGTCTCCCTGAATCAGCAGCAGAAGCACAGTAGCTCCCGCGTCTGCAGTAACGATGAAGACGTTCTCAGACGACGCTGAGCTGCTCAGTGTCGTAGTATTTACTGTGTTCTGTTAAAGATTTTTATTAGAACTGTTAAAACCTAAGAAGAAAACAGGCTGGAATGCAGGAGAGCTGGTCAAAGCTGGGGGGGGGGTGTATTTGTTTGGGGGATACTATCAGTAATCATCAGAATATCCGGCTGCATCTGTTTCTGTTTCTGTTATTAATGGATTATAAAGACTCCAGTTCTGTCTGAATGTAGCTGATGTTAGCGTTAGCGCTAGCTGACATTAGCGTTAGTTGACATTAGCGTTAGCGCTATCTGACATTAGCGTTAGTGTTAGTGGTCATTAACGTTAGCGTTAGCTGACATTAGCATTAGCTGATGTTACATTAGTGTTAGTGGTCATTAACGTTAGCGTTAGCTGATGTTAGTGTTAGTGGTCATTAACGTTAGCATTAGCTGATGTTAGTGTTAGTGGTCATTAACGTTAGCGTTAGCTGATGTTACATTAGTGTTAGTGGTCATTAACATTAGCGTTAGCTGATGTTACATTAGTGTTAGTGGTCATTAACATTAGCGTTAGCTGATGTTAGTGTTAGCTGATGTTACATTAGTGTTAGTGGTCATTAACGTTAGTGTTAGCTGATGTTACATTAGTGTTAGTGGTCATTAACGTTAGTGTTAGCTGATGTTACATTAGTGTTAGTGGTCATTAACGTTAGTGTTAGCTGATGTTACATTAGTGTTAGTGGTCATTAACATTAGCATTAGCTGATGTTAGTGTTAGCTGATGTTACATTAGTGTTAGTGGTCATTAACGTTAGTGTTAGCTGATGTTACATTAGTGTTAGTGGTCATTAACGTTAGTGTTAGCTGATGTTACATTAGTGTTAGTGGTCATTAACGTTAGCATTAGCTGATGTTAGTGATAGTTGTCATTAACGTTAGCATTAGCTGATGTTAGTGTTAGTGGTCATTAACGTTAGTGTTAGCCGACGTTAGCGTTAGCTGATGTTAGTGTTAGTGGTCATTAACGTTAGTGTTAGCCGACGTTAGCGTTAGCTGATGTTAGTGTTAGTGGTCATTAACGTTAGCGTTAGCTGATGTTAGTGTTAGTGGTCATTAATGTTAGTGTTAGCCGACGTTAGCGTTAGCTGATGTTAGTGTTAGTGGTCATTAACGTTAGCGTTAGCTGATGTTAGTGTTAGTGGTCATTAACGTTAGTGTTAGCCGACGTTAGCGTTAGCTGATGTTAGTGTTAGTGGTCATTAACGTTAGCGTTAGCTGATGTTAGTGTTAGTGGTCATTAACGTTAGTGTTAGCCGACGTTAGCGTTAGCTGATGTTAGTGTTAGTGGTCATTAACGTTAGCGTTAGCTGATGTTAGTGTTAGTGGTCATTAATGTTAGTGTTAGCCGACGTTAGCGTTAGCTGATGTTAGTGTTAGTGGTCATTAACGTTAGCGTTAGCTGATGTTAGTGTTAGTGGTCATTAATGTTAGTGTTAGCCGACGTTAGCGTTAGCTGCGGCGATAGTTTGCTTTGTTGCGCTGCTGCTCAGCGATCAGCTGTAGCTACAGTGAACTGTGTGACGTTCATGGTGCAGATTATTACTGTACGTCTGTAGAAGAACCAACATGTACTAATTCACAACACTCAAATACCCAGAGTGCTGTGTGCTTATCTGTGTGTATGTCTGTGTGTGTGTGTGTCTGTGTGTGTCTGTGTGTCTGTGTGTCGGTGTGTGTGTGTGTGTGTGTGTGTGTGTGTGTGCGTGTCTGTGTGTGTGTGTGTCTGTGTGTGTGTGTGTGTGTGTGTGTGTGTGTCTGTGTGTGTGTCTGTGTGTGTGTGTGTGTCTGTGTGTGTGTCTGTGTGTGTGTGTGTCTGTGTCTGTGTGTGTGTCTGTGTGTGTGTGTGTGTCTGTGTGTGTGTCTGTGTGTGTGTGTGTCTGTGTCTGTGTGTGTGTGTGTGTGTGTGTGTCTGTGTGTGTGTCTGTGTGTGTGTGTGTGTCTGTGTGTGTGTCTGTGTGTGTGTGTGTCTGTGTCTGTGTGTGTGTCTGTGTGTGTGTGTGTGTCTGTGTGTGTGTGTGTGTCTGTGTGTGTGTGTGTCTGTGTCTGTGTGTGTGTGTGTGTGTGTGTGTCTGTGTGTGTGTCTGTGTGTGTGTGTGTGTGTGTCTGTGTGTGTGTCTGTGTGTGTGTGTGTCTGTGTCTGTGTGTGTGTGTGTGTGTGTGTGTGTCTGTGTGTGTGTCTGTGTGTGTGTGTGTGTCTGTGTGTGTGTCTGTGTGTGTGTGTGTCTGTGTCTGTGTGTGTGTGTGTGTGTGTGTGTGTGTGTCTGTGTGTCTGTGTGTCGGTGTGTGTGTGTGTGTGTGTGTGTGTCTGTGTGTGTGTCTGTGTGTGTGTCTGTGTGTGTGTGTGTGTCTGTGTGTGTGTCTGTGTGTGTGT